GCGCTGCTCACTTTACTAGCACCTCGAAACGCACAAACACATCACAAAAAACATTTACCGCCTCACAGACCTCATTGGCCAGGGAAACACTGATCTATATAATGCAATCACATGTGTACGGGAAATTTGGACAAACGTATCAACCTACGACTGAAATCCTGGCTCACATTACGAAAACAGCAAAGTAGCTCACAGATGTCGCTATTACCCATGCAGAATAGGTTTATGTATCCATGTATGCTGTAAGAACGTACCTCTAAACTTAATCCTAGCCTCCTAACCTAGCTACAATCTTAATTCCAATCCTTAATAAAAAGAACCACAATAAAATAGAGCGACATAGATAATTTTTGAATCTCTATTCCTATGTGATCATTTTCGGTGTTACAGGACTACCTACCGACGTAATAGTCGATGTGAAGTGATTGCAGTTCTTTGACATCAGGTGATACTTGTCACCACGGAAGTCCTTGCCCAGCTCTTCTACTATCTTGATGACCTCCCCCTCCGTGAAGTCCGTGTAGCCTATCTTTATTGCCTGCCTGGAGTACAGCAAAAGAAACGCCTCTTTCAATCAATAAATAATTTCACAGAATCCTGGCTGATGAACTACTCGATTATATGGTTAGCAATTAATTTCTGCCTACAATTGGAGTCGGGCAAAAAGGAAGAACAGAAATGACACGATTAGGAAATTATAGGCAAATTCGATTTCGGAGAAAGTGTAATATGATCGTTAACGGAGACAGTATGTCTTTAAATAGTAAATGGTAAGTGTAAATATAGTATTTATTATTACAAATAGGCAACTCACTAGTGACTACAGACAATATTAACAAATACAGGACAACGTACAAGCAGCAATGACCACGTTCAAGCTAAGACTCGCAAATTCAAAATCGTTGTTGCGTAAGTTTATATATAAAAATAACACTATAAACGCGATTTATTTTGTATTTTAAGAAAACTAAATGCAATGAATGATACAATAATGTCACAATAAACGATTGACAAGAATGATCAAAACTTGTTAAAATTTGGTACATAATAGAAACGTCTGTTTTGCTATTCAAATTAAGGTGACCGAAAAGCGAAGCACTGCTGCTGCAGCTTTAAGGCCATAAGCGCATATAATTACAATATTCAATGAACAAGTAAAAGCTAACGCCTCTAAAAGGCTGTGTTAGCTATGCTTTCTATCGATTTTAGTGATTATCCATAATCATCTCTGTCCCTATGCCCTTGGGCTTTTGATGCTAACAGTACAAGTTATGCCCATTCTCGGATTTGGGTGTTTTTTTTGTCCTTTTTGATTTTCATCCAACTCAATAGCTGGTCATGCTCACGAACGTCACCCTGTCGAGTTGCTAAATCTGCAAACCAGCTCAAACGTGTCAAGACTGCCAGCCAACGACATAAGATCGGTACTAATGATTGCTGTCATGAACCCTAAGCTCGTACGCGTGCTGCAAACGCACTCGCTAATAAGGCTGATAGGGTCTATGTCTCCCTGGGTACTGCCGGAACGTACCCTGGTAACTATCTGATATGGTTAGGGTTAGGGTTAGGGTTAGGGAGTAGGCGTAGGCGACTCCCTAGACTCGTTAGTGGAGTAGGCGAGGTACGGTCCGGCATATTAGATAGCACCAGGGTACGGTCCGGTATAGTACGTTCCGGCAGTAACCAGGGAGACATAGACCCTGGCAGCGCTAGTAAGCGTCAGGACGTTCGCAATGCAATATTTTTCACGTACATTCGCTATGACACATTCCACAGTATGCATAATTAGCATAACAGTAGACGTTGAACTCTCCAGGGACATGTTCCCAGCTGTCTACGCAACTCTTTCCGCCGCCGTGAGTTCATTCTATTCGATGCAAAAATCGGCTTCATTTACACAATTGTAAGCTTTTCCCATGCGAGCTTTCTCAGTCTCTAAGCTATATGTAACAGATTTGCTCATGCAGTAATTCCTCTAACGTCTCCTTGATTCGGTGGGAAAACGGGATGTTTTTGCTGGAAAGGAGACGGGACGCGAGTATGCCCATTGACCGACGGCGACGCGAGTGCCCGACGGACAATCCACTCTATATATTCGCAATTAACGCAACGTTCTCTGAAAACATCAAAAGATCTGAAAATATATATTAAAATATGCAAGGCTGTGTATGTATCCCCATATTCACCCCTTGTCATGCTACCACCATACTAACCCCCACCCGTGATACGCTTGCATTCACACACACGGACGCACGCACACACGCACACACACACGCGCGCGCACGCACACACACACGCGCGCGCACGCACACAACCACCCTAGTATACATGACATGATCTATGCCCTTTAGAGGCATCATGATCACAGCATCCCACAGCTTTTATTTGTCGACGCGATCATATACCATAAGCTATAGGCTATAGTAGCATACAGAGAAACGCAAATTATGACGCAGATGATCAAACTACAACGCTTCATTAGATGGCTTCGAGCAACTGATGTCTCTATTGATTTTTGAGACGCGCATTTCCTGCTGGCTAGTAGCATTGCATTTACATTCACGATGTATGCAAGGCGCTGCCACCAAAGCGTGTGAGTCCGTGCCTGCTGAATGGAATTTTGGTTGGAGCATTAATAATCGTATAAAATAAAACTTAAAACCAATAAAAACAAATGTTGTTTGAACAACATAGTCTCCTGATTACACCGTGAAATTAATTTATTCATTTAATTAACAAATATCTCTGTCCAGTAGATCATGTCTATGTCCATGTAATCATTACAGGGTGCCAAGCTGGTCACATACCGAGTACTAAAGAAGCGTGTGCTGCGCCGTATGTCGGAAACTCTCTTGGCACTGATCGTGCAACATGAGCAATAGTTGAAGCCACTTAGGCGTGCAAAGTAGCACTATACCCACGCCAAGCCATCTACAATTATAACACTAGCAGCAGAATGGAGACACGGGGAGAGTTGCATGAGGTGGTCCAGTGTGCCGAGTTCAGGGCGGGTAGTGGCAACATGCGCACACGTTATCACACGCCCCACGGGAGAACCTATACGGACCACGTACAGCACGCAAACATCGATGCGTGCATTGAACGTGCGAATCTGATTTGCGATCCATTGCTTTAATTCGCCCACACCCCACACCATCATTCGCGCGGTCCGCATTTTCAGTTTTCCGAATTGAGCGTTGTCCATCCACTGGCCGTCAACTTGCGGTATAGACCTGAGTAATTGCACGTGAAGCTGCTGCTTTCCGCATCTACCATAGCATCTCTGTAAATTACATCCGACTCAAGGCCACCGCTAAAATATTTACTATTTGCCAAGTCACACGCACCGACTGAAAATAAAGCTTTCATTCGTATATAAATGTTGAGCGGGAATACGAGAACGCAACGTGTGCAGCGTCTGGACTGGAATGTTTTTCTTTGTTGATTGTTAAAGTATTGTCGAACAAGACTGTGTGTTTGAAACGTTTGTTTGCTGTACGAAGTGGCCAAATACACAAAACGCTATGGGGAGCGGCGTCGCGTGTGCATGTGTGTTCAAAGGTGCATGGACCCTATATAACAATCACCGGTACTTATTACCCGTAACGCTAAAATTAAAAAAAATAAAGTATTCTACCAGCATACACATGCACCATTTGATCACATCAGTCCCGAATCATAATTAATCCGAGAATCACAATAGAAGCATTGAATCCGAGTATCATTCGAGAATCATTGAATCCGATATCATAAATAATAGACAAAGCGCGTGACCAGTGTCGCTAATACAGCCAACCCAACAAGGATCGACTAATTAATTTAGTTTCTAGTACCTAGTGTAGTAGAAAGGCTAGTACTGTAATATCTATATGCATTGCTGCTCATGCTTTACCAGCCTAACTTCACAAGTATTCAACGATATAAATTTGTTTACTCAACATTCTATTCCCTTATTTCTGACCTTTAAAACAAGTCTGAGATCACTGCCCGTATCCCTATCGCAATCTTATACATATTTATATAAATGTACGAGTTATGAATTCTGCCAACATAAAAAATCTCACGAAACTCTCATGTTCATCCAGTACTGTTTTGTACACTCATCATACTACAGATATTCTCACGGCGCAGTAAGTACCAGTGGTTGTTACATATAGTACAAACCGTTTTCAAATGGAAAGTAAACGTGTTGAAGATTCTATTTTCTCCCACGAGGTGCCGCTAACACAAATAGCGGTCACATAGCGGTCACGCTATTTTTCTACGAAAATGGTTTGACACCGACACACACATGCAAGCTATTCGAACGCGTTTGACCGACCACCTATGTAGGTACGCACTACAAACGCGTTGGCACAGAGAACACAAGAATTTTATGTGCCTACTGATAGACCCGCCTCAACAAATACAAATACGTGTTGTACAGGCCGACGAGGAATCATTGAACGGTAGCCCGATGCCACGAAGTGACGTTCACGGACGAGATGGAGACGCAGTGAATTGCTAATAGCCTCCTAAAAGCTGCGGGATCTATAAGCTATATATATATCGCGCATTTCTCGCGGCGCGTGTCTGTCACGCAGTTAGCGGGCGTTTGGCGACGTCTGCCGCTATTCACGCTGTCTCCGACACGCACGAAAGCACACACGGCACACAAATTCTCTCTTTAACGCAATCACGGCACTGACGCCCGTTTAGGTAGTTGTGACGTTATTTGTCACTGCGTTGTTTCACTCTATCCTGCTACGGTTGATTAAACCGGCCCTGTTTGCCCTAGTTAAGAGAATGCAAAATTCTTCCAACTTGGAATTTCCACAATGCTGCCAATGAGCATCAGAGCAGGTCAGCTCTTTCTACGAACTTGCATTGGTATAAATAATACTGAAAATCTGCTCTGAGCTAGCGTCTACACGGAAAATATTTGATAATTTACATATAATTTTGAGTTCATAAGTGAGGAAGGCGAGAAATCTTCATGGGCAATCGAGAATTCTCCGCGACGAATAAAATATTAGACGAATAAAAAATGTGCGGGCATTTATGCCTACTTTCGCTACTAAATTATCCGGAATGTGTGCTTGTGTGAAAGAGGCGCGCACACGCACGCGCGCACATAAACGTACACGCACTCACGCTCGTATGGGAGAGAGACGAGAGACGCAGAGCGAGAGAGTGTGAAGTAGACAGAGAGGAGGGAGAGGAAGAGAGCGAAGGGAAGGAAGAGCAGAATGAGAGAAAGAGAGAAAAGAGAGGCAGAGGGAGAGGAGAGGAAGAGGAGAACGAGAGAAAGAGGGAAAATATAGGCAGGGGGAGAGGAGAGGGAGAGAGACGGGAGATGGCGAAAAATTGGGAGAGGAAAGGGGGGACGGAGAGGGAGATGGAGGTCCTTTGCTCTGAACATATGGGAATGTTACTACAGATGCAACGACACGCAGTGCCATGGCTTAGCCTTCTCACCGTAGGAATTTAATAACGTCATGCCTATTATATAACCTTCAAAATAGTTTTTACTTACCTGTCGTGAACCGACCAATTATATCGAATGAAAATGTCCTGGAATAATCTGTTTACGGACTGTAGTGTGTACTGAACTGTTTACGAACTGTTAGCGTGTACTGAATACGATTTTCCGTTTTCCTCTACCTGTTTACCTATCTCTGAAGAGCACAGGCAACGTCGAACAAGAGTGAAGGGATGGTTTGACTATTTGTATTTGCTTTCTAGTGCAATTCATTCACATGAATTGCACGCTCACGTGTGACTGTGGGTGTGTTCATATACCTAGACTCACTTTCAAGTTCGCATAGTCACATGGAAAAATTTCACACATTGATTGATTGAAGTACCTTACAAACGTTTTACCGCACGGGAGGTAGAATAACCAAAGCATAGCGGCTAAACAGTGAGAATTATCCTTAAACATGATTGACAATTTATTATACGGTTATTTTAGCCGTAGAGCCGTAGAGTTTCAACCGCTTCTATTAAGTTGCAAACTTATTATACATGTTGCAGAATCAGATCATGATTGTTAGTTTGTTACGTCACTAAAATGAGATTACGCGGCAACTCATTATATGACGCCTTATTAGATTTCAGTCGGAAACAGAAAACAACGGTTAGAGATTTGCACGAAGAAAACGTTAATAGGTCGATCAGATTGGCGGTCGCGAAAAATTCCGAATAAGAAGCATTCTTTCGAGGTAAATGGATTCACAACAACCCGACGCGGCTTGCTTGTGAAACAGGCAATTTGTTCTAGGAGGAAATGCGGGATTTTATTTGCACTCAAGAGTGTCGCGCGGAGAGTTTCACTAGCATGCCTATATATACCCGTCGCACAATAGGATGCGACCAACTTCGTGAAGGCATGACAACGAGCAATGATACGAACCGATCTTGCGTCAGGAAAATCGCACCTGTCATCGCCGGTATAGCGTCACTTGACGGGCGTCAACCGTTCAGGGACGCGCATGCGCAGAGATCACATCCCAGCATTTCGAACGGCCGCCTACGTTTATCAAACTAGCCACGAAGGTACACGAGTGCGCAACAATTATTCGCTCTTTAGATCAATAAATCAATAATTTACTCGACGGCCGGTCTCACTATAAGCTGCAATTAGCATGTAGTAACCTATATTCTGTGTCATCATGATACTGCGCGTGCATGGCTCTATATGAACCAGGCCTACCATGGTTACTATGCTTCTCTCCGCCACATAACCATCGCATTGCATCGGCGGTTAAATCAAATCACGCCGAATGAATTTACAGTGAAGCTGTATTTTTAACCTAGGGCGTACTTCTTCGAATTCACTTATCGCGCTAAGCAGAAAGATCTAACGATTTTCCTACCCCGCACTTCCTCTCTCCTGGTTACAAGCACTGCGTCATCTCTGTTGATTTTACACCCAGGGCGAAAAACCATTCTTTAACTCACGTAACGGCGTGTATATTTCAGTCGCAGTGACAAACGCAGAACATTGGTTTTGTGTATTATGGATGTGCCTTGACAACACTGTGGCGTCATTGAGGAGTTTGAGGCACGTGATTTGTATCAACCAATGGGATTTGGGAGGGCCACGTCACCGAGTAAACATCATGAGTGGCATGCGGTGGGCGTAGTCATTGAGGTAATTAGGGTTATTTAAGTTTTATTATAGTTTTTCGTGCGCTTTTCAATCCCAAAAATTTTCAACGATGCTACGATGACATGCTTACCAGCAAACGCTGTGTCAAGTCAGTCACTGTTGCCCACGAATTCAGATTATTCGAATTCCCAGGTAATTCCCATATGTAATTCCCCGTTTTGTATTTAAATTGCCAGTAGGTGGAGCGTGCCGCTGCATATATTAACTCAAACCTTCGGTTTGCACAAGGACGGGGAGTCCGAGGGCACCACTAGTCGAGCAGGGTAGAGTAACGTACACGCATGCCGTACGTGGTGATTTCCTGACTCAACGTGACAGCTTCACCGATGACGTCACGTGATGCAGGAAAAGCACGCGCATGCGTATCGCGCACACACACACGCACGCACGCACGCACGCGCGCGCGCACACACACGCACGCACGCACGCGCGCGCACACACACACACACACGCACGCGCGCACGCGCACACACACACGCACGCGCGCACGCGCACACACACACGTGCACGCGCGCGCACACTCACATACACGCACGCACGCACGCACGCACGCACGCACGCACGCACGCACACACACGTTATGATTGCCTTTCGGAGTTCGAATAGGCAATGGTGTAATCAGCATGGAACGTACCGCCTGCACGAGATTCACGCTAATTTCAGTCCACTCACTCACAGTACTTTCAGACTAACTATACGATCTGGCCACCGCGAGTGAAGCATCGCTTTATCCGCGTCAGCATCATCGTCTGTGTCATCTGTGCGTAGCTCCCGCGATCGCGTAAACTTTGCTCCCACTGGCAGTTCCAACAAATCAGTAAAAATAAAAATGTATAATAAATCTTATTGCACCTCTAATAACTCTCCTATCTGCGGTAAACAACTCCTCACTGCCAAAGAAAAGCCTATCGTCGGCTCGAATGCTGACTCTCTGCACTATAAGAGATATAACAGTTTTATTTTTCGCTTTCAACATAAAACAAGAATTAACAAGCCAAATAAGAAAACAATACCGCGAAGGGATGGCGAAAAGACACTACGCTGCGTACTCCCCATACATATAATCCCCTTTTATTATGTATGGGGAGTACGCAGCGTAGTGTCTTTTCGCCATCCCTTCGCGGTATTGTTTTCTTATTTGGCTTGTTAATTCTTGTTTTATGTTGAAAGCGAAAAATAAAACTG